CTACCCTGTGGTGAAAGAACTGCTAAAAGGTCCACATACCATATCCACTCAGTGGTTATGCTAGTTAATTTTTAAATATATTTTTATTTTATGTGTATGAGTGTATTGCCTGCAAGTATGTAAGTGCACCCATGACATGCAGTGCCTGTGGAGGACCAAAGAGGGCGTCAGATCCCCTGGAACTGGTGTTACAGGTGGTTGTTAGCTGGGATTTGAACCCAGGTCATCTGCAAGAAAAGCCAGTGCTCTTAACTGCTGAGCCATCTCTCCAGCCCCGCTAGTTAATTTTTAATATCTGTCTTTCCTGCAAAAGACAAAGCAAAAGTTCTGATGTGTGATGTTTGCCAATTTCCATGGCATAAATAATTCCACTGTGGGTGATTTCTAACTGCCAACTAGTTTTAAAAATCCTGAAAATGTATCGATTGGCCCTTGCAACCCAAGATGAGCCTGATCCACACTCCTCTGGATCTGCTGGCCAATCCAGAAGCCACTGCCCAATGGAGCATTGGATGGTCTATTGAGCGCCCTGTAGTGGGAGTACTCTGGGAAGATGGGACGACATCCTTCAGGATATAAAATATGAAGCCCCTCACTGCTTGGTCCTGACCACACTCTCCCAGGTCCGTCTTAGGCACATCTTCCAATTGAGTCTCTTAGCGTTTTCCCTGTAAAACACTTTAACTCACATGAATGCATCCTAGAAACATGCAGATTTAAGGGGCTGCATACAATATGATTTCATTTACACAAAGTATTAAAACAGGGTACTCCAAAGCCAAAGAAACATTTATTTTAGGCATATGCATGAACAAATGAGGCTTTCAAAGTCCCAATCTGTTTCTTTAGCTGGGCCATGAGACTTTGGATATATTTGCTATAAGTAAACCCTCATGCATACTCAGTATTTATTTTGAATCACAGAAAAATGTGGGTTCTGCAGAGATTTTCTGAAATTTCTGGTACATAAAAACATCATTTATTGTTTGCCATAACCTCTTTCATTAAATTATTATAGTGATTTGTTCAAAGTATATGTAAATCTAAAGAAAATAAAATATTATTTAGAAGGTAGATTACTATATGAAATTCATGTTATCGTGTAGTGTAAATTCTATAGACCTGGCCAATAGAGTATTCTTATGAATATTTTTCCTCTCCTAGATAATGTTCTTTCTGGAATGAAGAATTGTTTCTACTTTCTCTCTCTGGCTTTCTCTCTCTCTCTCTCTCTCTCTCTCTCTCTCTCTCTCTTTCTCTCTCTCTCTCTCTTTAAGCTAGGGATGGCCTTAAAACATCTCCTGCCAGGGCTGGAGAGATGGCTCAGCAATTAAGAGCACCGACTGCTCTTGCAGAGGACCCGGGTTCGATTCCCAGCACCCACATGGCAGCTATAAACCATCCTTAACTCCAGTTCCAGGGGAATCCGATGCTTTCTTCTGATCTCCATGGCATTGTACAACATGGGTGCACTCACATACACACAGGCAATACATTCATACACATAAAATAAAAATAATAATTTTTTTAAAAAATATATCTTCTGCCTCAAGTTCCTTAGAGCTGAGATTAAAGGCATGCATTACTACATTTAGTTTTACTAATTTTTATATAGAGATAATTATTCCCCACAATTTCCTCCAACATTAAAATCTCCTCCCAATTCATTTAAACATTTTGTTTGCTTGTTTTAATTTTTATTTATTTTTATTTTATGTGTAGGAGTGTTTTGCCTACAAGTATGTAAGTGTATCTGTATCATACAAAGCCTTCCAAAGCCAGAGGAGGGCATTGGATCCTCTGAACTGGAGTTATAGATGGTTGTTAGCCACCCTGTGGGTGCTGGTAATCAAACCTGGGTCCTCTGGAAGAACGTCCATTGCTCTTAACTGCTGAGCTATCTCTCCAGCTCCCAACATATCAGGCATGTTATCTATATGATTTGCTCATCCTTGCTGCACCTACAACAGCTCCATCCTACTTGGCTATTTCTTGGGATCTTCCTTTTCCATTATTACACAGGTTCACTCTGCTTTTCTCCAGTGTAGATTCCTTTAAGGAGGCCACATTCTTCTCTAGTTTGGACAAAACACATTTTCTAGCAGTTCTTCAAGTGAAGCATATGCAAATAGATCATTTTTAAACCTTTGATTTACGAACTATATGGTGTATGTGAAAGTCAGAGGAAACTCTTAGGAGCTGTTTTTCTTTCCGCTATTCTACTGTGGGTTCCAGGAAGGGAACTCAGGTCGTCGGGCTTGCCCAGCCACTCTGCCATCTTGCCAGTCCTGG